TTCCCCTACAGCAGACACCAGCTCCTGCCAGACTCTGCTTCCCCAGCCCCTGAAATCCTACTCCAGGAGGGAAGGAGGTGGTCCAGGGCCACCGGCAGATCGTGGCTGAGCTAGACTTAAACCCAAGCCTCTGATACCTGAGAAGCCCTAACTCATGGCCCAGACCCACCTGCAAGGCTGAACCCAGGGCCTTTGTCGGGAACAAGCCAGCGCCTGAGCCCCTTCAGTTGCACCCTGCACAGGGGACAGGTGAGCACTGCAGGAGAAAAAAAAAAACAAAAAACCCATTTCAGACCGTGTCCTTGTGGGTTCCCATCTCCCCTCTCAGCAAGGCCTCCCTGCCCTATTCTCCACCTTGGTTCAGCCAAATCCGTACCTCTTCTCGGATCTCCCAGTCAGACGCTCTCCCTGCTCCAAGAGCCAGCCTCCTAGCCCACTGGGGGAAGACGGCGGCAGTGACCCTCTGACCCCACCCCGGCCCACCGCCAGCCAGGTGCCCCAGCTCTCACCTTGCTTCCTTCCCCAAAGCAGCCACAGGAGAGGAGGGGACCCCCCATTCCTTCCCGGGGCAGCCCCTGGCCGCCCCTTGCTTTCATCACTCCTAACTCTTCAGGCCCTGCCCCTCCTTCTCACAGCATTTAAAATACCAGGTCTCCACCTGCTCTTCACCTGCTCCAGGCTGGGTTTTCTACCCTTCAGACAACCTCTTTCAAAGTGTACTTACTGCCTGCAGGGACTTGCCATCTCCGCCTCTGGCCTCCCGCCCTTTCCCCAGCCCTCTGTAGCCTGGCTTGCCTTTCACACCTCCACTGCCTCATTGCCAAACCCGTGGGCCACCTCAGTGCTTCCGTACCACTGACCCTGGTTCCCAAACTGGTCCCTCTGATCCCTCTGGTCCCTCTGCTGAGGTGATGCCCTGTAAACATAGAATTCAAGGAAATAGCAATGAATGGAACAGAAAAATCATTTCACGTTGACAGGCATTTGTAGTGAAGGTACAAAAGCCATGAACTTCCTTCCGTATGTGGATTCAGGAGCATCAAGCAGAAAGCAAAAACTGCTGGAAATGCAAAAGAAGAAAATCGACAAAAATACAATTGCATCTGAGACTAACACCTCACCACTATTAGCTTATGATAGATCAAGGAGGCAATAAGAACCCAGAGAGGTTTTTAATAATTAATCAGGTTTAATAAGCAGGGATACATCAAGCTCTTACCCTAGAGAGAACACACCTTCTTTCGCGTATACTCAGAACATCACCCAAAGCTGACTGCATGTATCGAGAAATGAAAAACTGAAAAAGCTGTGGCCAAAGAAACAGTTTGGGCCACATTCTGTACCTTGAAGCAATAAAACTAGAGATCGCTAGAAGACGTTTACTTAGTTTTTCTTCTATCAGAAAGTTTAAAAATTAAATACTACATCAGTAGGATTAGGTTTTTAAAAGAAATAATCTTCCAATTAAACAAGGTATACTGATGACATGCATTTATCTCGTTTCCTTTTCAAGCACCACCGTACTGACGGGACTGAAAAGATGATCACTCATAAGGGCAGAATTAATGTAGGAGGAGATATCAGTACGTAAGAGAATTCGAAAAGCTTTGGCAGATGGAGCTTGATGAAAGAGCATTGACTAAATTAGCAGAGGGCGAGAGGAACCGGAAGTGAGCTGATCAAACTTTGACCTAGTCAAACTTACAAGCTTTTGTACACCAAAGGAAACCATAAACAAAATGACAAGACAACCTATGGACTGGGAGAAAATATTTGCAAATGATGCAACTGGCAAGGGC